TTTTTAATAAGTAATTTGAACTGATTAATACAATTGATTGGACTGATGTGGTGTTTAGAGAAAGAAAGTTTTCAGATTTTTTTCCACCAATCCTTTTTGGATTTGATTGTCTTGTTATTTGCAGCCACAGGAAATATTGCTTGGCCAAACAGATATCATTATGTTGATATCCTGTGACAGGAGGATGCAAGCTGTGCTCTTTCTAAAACCAACACAGCCAGTACTCACAGCATGATCCAATTAAGGACGTCTGCACAAACACACACACACACGCATACATACACACAAACTAGGCAAAAGGCACACAGAGAGGTCAGGATGCACACTTCCACGTGCACATTTAAATGAACTGCACGCACAGATACACACAAAGGTGCACACAAACATGACACAAACACGATCAGTACAGAGTCCAGCTGTCTCTGTGTAAGACACCACAGGGAGTCTAACTGGCTTTCCTCTCTTTCATCCTATCTCCTTTGTGTGTGTGCGTGTGTGTGTGTGTGTGAGAAAGAGAGAGCGAGACTCAGAGAGAGAGAGAGAGAGTGTGTCCCAGCATCTCTAGCCAAAGGAAATATTTCCAAAATTGCAGCTTTCAAAACGAATTTGATCTTTTTAACACTTCAAATTATACAACTGATAGGAAATGTTGCAATCTAATTAAAAGAAAAGAAGAACATAAAAACAAGATAATATTGAGAGGCTGTCATGTAGTTGGACATTCCAGTGGACACTTGGCAATGCCTCTGTTCCATCATCGTAAATACATAATGAAGTCTCAAGATTTATCTGCCATGCTAATCATGCCATAACTTGTCTTGTTATAAGACCTGGTATACCAACCCTAGAGCATGATGCAAACTCTTCTTTTTCCCACAGTGCTACAGTTCACGCTTCACTGAGAGCTATGAGTTGTAAACTGTTATTGCAATCTCTTTTGTAGATACTACATGGATGGCCAATGTTTGTACATAACGGATGCCTCCATGCAAATTATGGTTGGCATTTGTCAAATTGCGTGCATGTATACAAATGAGGTGTAAGCACCTTGTTTAATCGTATGCTTTTATGCAAGCCAAGTTCAGATAAAGTTCAGCCAACTTGTTGGCTAAGCTGTGATATTAAGCACACACCTCATGTGCTGTAGAGGTGATGTTGTAGCCAACACTATAGCTATATACTGCATTTAGTTCAACTTAATCCTTCCTCCATCCTCTGCTTGTTTTTCAGAGTTGTTATGATCGCTTGTTATCTGTTTGTACATATGGGTTATGTTACCGTATACACAAATAAAGCCATAATAAAAAACTGAAGCGTAATCGCCTATCATCTTCAGAAAGATATAACGATGCGATGGAGTGAGAAAAACAGATAAGGAACGAGAGAAAAAAGAGGGAAACAGCAAGTAAGTAAACAAAATTTACTCAACACACACACGACCACATCCACAAACACACCAAATAGAGTTTAGACTTCCCCGCCCTGGCCTCTGCAGGGGAGAATAAAAAATAAAAAAAAATCCAATGGACTCCAGAGAAAACCACTTCCTCCGCTGCTTAGAAGTGTGTGTGTGTGACTGAGTGAGCATGCCTGCCTGCTCGTCTACCCACAGAGCACATGGTTAGCATTCAAAGCCCAATTCAATAGGAACCACACAGTGAGCTCAGTATGAGTAGAGATGAGAGAGTTCAAGGCTGAATTAAACTGAACAGAAACATATGGATGAGAGGAGAAAGAGGAAAGGAGAGGGCTCCCTATTTATCTCTCTCTGTATCCATTTTCAAATATTCATCTATTTCCAGCAAGCAAGACAAGAACTGAAAATCGTTCTCATCTAATTCACCATACTATGCATGCTAAATACTAGTGCAGCAAGAGATCAGATTCATCCTGAATGAACAGGCACTTGGCTACTTTTGCAGATTATCTTGGACTGAGAACCAGAGCATATCTTGGGAACAGTCCATCTATTTACTCTAAGCACGTTGTCTGTAAATCCATATGCAGGCCAACAGTGTTTTTGGGACACTTGTAATTGTGTGGTTAAGTGTCTTCTACAAAACCCATCCAGATTGTAGGCTGTTTTTCATTTTCCCCTCCATCAAGCACATAAAATGTGGGTGAGCTAGTGTCCATGGCTAATCCAGTTTTAGTTATGTTAATGTGAACAAGTGCAACTTCAAATTAATGCATATTTATCACAATGAATACACTGACTTAAGACCACTGTCAGATAACCCAAGAGTAAAAGTATAATAAATAACAGTATTACTACATAAATGTGATAATAATTAAAACCAAACAAACTGATTGAGTGAAAGTATGTAAGGGAACTTTTAGAGAGTCTGTGTGTGTGTGTGTGTGTGGTGTGTGTAGTGTGTGTGGATTTTGTGTACGGTGTGTGTGTGTGTGTGTGTCTGTCCGTGTGTTGTCGTGGTGTATGTGATGAGAATCGATATCTAATCGCTTCTCACTCATTACATGATGTTAGTACTCTGTGAGTGCGAGTCCATGGTCCTACTAATTGGGCTGTACTATGAATTGTGACCATGTGAAGCAAGATAGTAGCTGATGCGAGCTTGAGAAGATCAGACCGAAGGAGGAGCGCGAGCAGCAGGGTCGATGATGTTGGGTCTATGCAAGTCAACGGCTTGAACGGTCTTAGATGGGGCGGCTGAGGGTCTAGGAGACACGCAGTACGTATTTCTCTGGAGCCTCGATTGGATTATTTATTTATATATATTTCTATCAGGTATTACCAATCTCTCGTCTCGCATGTCAGTAAGTCTCATGGGTGACGTGGGATTAAGGTCTTAAACAACTCCTAAATTCCTGGTGATGTCTTGTGGATGTTAGTTTGGGACCAAAGATCGTAATGATTCCCTCATTTGCCCTTTTCTTTAGCCATACTGTATGTCTCCACCAATGAATGAAAACAGGCAGCACATCAAGTCTTGTTGCTGTTATATCAGAAATGGCTTGATATAAAATCTTAATTCTGGGCACATTATCTAGTACTGCTTTCAGGAGCTTTGTTTTGGATTGATTCTAACAGTGTAATAACTGGTCTAAACCATTGCTCAGCCTAAATTAGGCTGCAAGTAACCATAGAAACAATAATGATGCTTTATGTTACGTTAATAATAACTAGCTGATTTGAGTAGTTGACTTTGTTAGCAGCGATGGAATATAACAGGCTACATTTACTCAAGTGCTGTACTTAAGCACACATTTAAGGTACTTGCACTTTACTTGAGTATTTACATTCTGTGTAACTTTCTACTTTTACTACATCTCAGAGGCAAATATTGTAGTTCTCTACTACAATCATCAAAAAGCTTTAGTTATTAGTTACATTTCAGATTACAAGGATCTAATTGAATCCGATACAATGTAGTTCAAATTAGCTCAACCATGAACAACTACAGCAGTAAAATGCAACGTACACATTAATGCAGCAATAATATAATACAAAAACAACTTTAACTTTTTATACTTCGTAACGGTTCCTGTGTTCTGAGCAAAACAAGTCCTGAAAAGACCAATGTTTCTCAAAACATGTTGGTAAAACAAGCCAAGTTTAGATAAAAAAACAGGAAATACCCAGTTGAGGTTATGTCAAATCCTTTGAAAGAAAAGAAGCAACGAAGAATCTAAAACTAGCACATCTCATGTAAGCAAACCAAAATTCACAACAATATGGAGAAACACACGCTCTTGCAGAAAAAGGAAAAAGAAAACTCTCAAAAAAGGCCAACACTACATGATGGCTGGGAGGAGGCAAACACAAATAATAATACTTTCCCACTGAAAGATCAAAATAGCTAGAAAATCTGTGTGTATATTTGAATTTTTAGGTACAATAATGCAGATACACACACTTCCTTTGTTCACACATACATTCACAAATAATAAATGTTCTATTGTGACCTACAGCCCACTCTATGATTAGAATGTGCCATATCAGCTAATAAGTAAGAGGAAGATGTATTGTCTTTTTCCAAGAGGACTTTGCACACCTGCACCTCTATGTTACAGTGCAACAGAACGCTTCAGGCATTTGCTAAATCGACACTTAATTCAACAGCAAGTTAATTTTGTTCAGAGTAATTGAAAACGAACAATGAACAATCAGCCATAAATAACCAGGACAACCTGATTACCTCCAATTCACAGTGAGCCACTCATGAATTTCTGCCCGATTCAAACCAATATATACAAAGAAACCACTGCAGCTCTCATTTTTGTGAGTCAGCCTGAGGGATGAAGTTCAAAGGATTTTGGGCAAAAGGCCTGCTCACAGGATTTGCCTGGCATGTCCCAATCATTTCCCATTAACACACATTCAAATTCTGGCAAGTGGGAATAATAGGCCAGGCTGTCAATTGCAAACGGTCTTGTAAAAATGTTCATCCCTGAATGACCCAATTGGAAAACATGAGGGCAAAACTGTGTCAAACACATTTCTGTATGCATCCAATCCATTCCTGACACTCTCCTCTAGCTACAGTCTAATACTGTAACATTTACAAAACATGCAAGGCTCCAAACACTAATAATGCATTTCAGAGAGTAAACTAAAAAATCTATGACCAGGGAACCAGGCCACATTCACTTGGGATCACCTATAGGTATACGCTAATATGGGCCACTTAACTGCACTGTTTATACCAAAAAACAACTCACCCTGGAGATAGTGACTTGGTGTATTTTTAGTATACGTATGTCCTGGGGTATTAGGCTGGGAACCCACAAGGTCATGGTTCCTAGCTCATGCCAAAGAGGAGCTTGAGTCTAATAGGATTCGACGCAGCAAAACTTTGATGGAACAGAACATTTTACTTTAGGTATAGTAAGTATATTTTTGTCATATTTGCTGAAACGTTCACTGTATTCTGACAGTAATACATGAGAGAGATAATCTGGGAAAAAAGGTTCCCCTGGCTGATTGTAGTCGCTTTTCGTAAGCAGCATTATGACTGTGTGACATTTAGACCTACCTGAGGTTTGTCCTGGGCCATCCAGTTTGGATTCACATTTTGGAAGAGAGCAATCTAAAAAGAAACAAAGAGATAAAAAAGTTAGAGGAAGGAAATTTAATAAAAACAAAATGAAGAGTGTTTTAGTGTCAGAAGTTAGAGCTTTGTGATTACAGAGTACAAATAAGAGAGTGAGCAATTGTGGAGCAGCTCTTTGATCTGAGTATCTGGATAGTCCCTCCCTGAGATTAAACACCATTTGACATGCTGTACGCAGATGCATGTGCATGCATGCACGTGCGCACACACACACACACACACACACACACACAAACTGTAATGTGCATTCACACGCATGTATAAAAGGAACATATACATGCTGTAGCTGGACCTGAGCTAGTGAGACATACTTCTACAACATCTGAGTCTAAATGTGTGTATAGATGGAGGCTATAGATCCTGGTGCTCTTTATCTCTCTTCTTTACTCTATGCTCTCACACTGTCACAATACTTCAATACTACATCATACTTCAGCTGATAAGTGAATGAATCATTTAAAGATACCAAGTACAGTACATATCTGTATCTCTAATCCCCGAGGAATGATCTTCAGGGGGATGAAATGTTCATTCAACCAGACTTGTGAAAAAGCAGAGCAGTGTGTATGGAGCCTCTAACATTAGAGCACAGACTATATTGGTTCCTGCTTGAACTGCAGAACTGGAATTGCTGATGTCAGTTTTAGCATCACAATCAATTCTGGACTGATTCATTAATAAGGACTGATTAGGATCCATTTTAAAATTCTTATTCCTGATAACTCTTGCCCTGCCCTACCTCCTGAGCCTCCTCTACACGCCCCGCGAGATATACCGTGCTTCTCTCCAGTCAGATGATCAGCTGCTCATCGAGTGTGCTAAAACTAGAGGAACTCAGAGGGGAAGCCGGTGCTTTGCTCGTGTCTGATCCTAAATATGATATTTCTGTCTCTGCCACGTTAAAGAGGCGTCTTCTCATGTCTGTTTTAAATCCCTTCTTATAACCCATCTCTTCTCTGCTGGCCTTTTGAAACCTAGTACATGATCGATCTTTATTTATTGATTTATATTCTTATTTTGATTGCTTTTTATTGCGTGGCTATTATTTTAACTCCTCTTGTTTATGTCTTTTCCATTTTATGTTGATTTACAGTGAGTATTATTGCACCTCCATTGTGATGCTGTTTTATGTCTTTTTTTATGGAAATGTTTTTAATTTTATACCCCCCCCCCCCCTCTTCCCTGTACAGAAGCTTTTGTCAGCTTGGTTTGTTGGTTGTTTTAAAGTGCTTAACAAATAAAGTTAGATTGGATTGGATTGGATTCATTATGGGCGCTCTGCTAATCCACATATCCGCAACTCAAATCTTAAAAAAAAAAAAAAAAACTAGAGAACTCATGACAATAACCCTGAAAATAAATTATACTTTAAATTATACTATCCAACTCTACAGACAAACTGAATTCTTTATTTGGATTCACATGCATCTTGTATGTATCTGAAAGCACACTGATGAACTTTCTGGGTCACTCATCAGTAGGACACTACAGTGGCACGAGATAACAGAAGCAGGGCTATGAGGGACAGGGGCAGCTTAGCTCTTCTTCGCTCTGACTTCTCCTGGCTGCCTTTCTGAAAAGAACAGCCTGGCATATGCTGCTGAGGATTACAGTAAGCACCTGTTCACACGCTGTATGTTTCACTTTATACAGCGTATGGTGGTGGAAGAGTGCAGCACACAGTTTTCAAGGCCTTACATGTGTTTGTACCCATTTCTTGTTCTCAGTAGGTTTGAATTTCAGGGAAAGTATGTGAAAGAAGTTACATAATTTATTCTAGTGAATATTCACACACTCTGAACATTTTCAATGTGAAATCATCTTTTCAGAGCGGTAGCATTTTTAGTGACTATATATTTTCTGGAGAAATCGTGGTCAGCATATGCTGCCAGGCAGGGATTAGGTGGCAACGTGGTCATGTGAACAGGAGGGAGTCAGTGAAGGAGAGAAGGCAGAAGTAATCTTCTACCAAATAGGGTGAAAGAAAGAAACCACCAGGTCAATGACTAGTGACAGAGCTTTCACTTGGAGCCGTTATCAAGATGAAGCTGTAACACAATTTTAAAGGGAACAATAACTACTAAGCATTCTCCAAAATCTCCTCATCTGAACTCCGTCTACCTCTTGAAGGGAAAGAACTCAGATTCTATCTTTTTAAACTACTAATAAAAACCTGACAATTGTTCCTGCAGCTTCAATACAGGGTCGACATGAGGAATTCAATGTTCTGGGAAACTCGGAAACTGTGAATGCCCCTTTAGGGAGGATATAAAACCTGGGACAGTTTTGTAGGGGGGTAGAGAAGAAAGGTCAATTTTCTTCAAAATGAAGTGAAACTGCAATTTGTTTCACAGTGAAATATAAAGTGTGAAATATCAAATACATTTTATTTATTTGATATACACACATTCAGTGTTTTACAGTCTGTTTTACACTGACATATATGTGTGAATGCTACACCAAAAGAAAAAAAAAAAAACAGTACCAATTTAAAAGTAGGTACTTGTGCAAGCCAATACAGTAGGATGGGATGTTAAGTTTGATCCTCAACCTATTTTATCCAAAGCCAGAGAGGCCAAGAGGCAGTTTAGCCTTCCTAAGCCCGAGGAGCACTGGGTTGGCACTGTTCACGCGACAGGGATCAGAGCTTACTGCTGTCTTCAAAGCAAGAGGGAATGTTACAGTGTGTGTGTGTGTGTGTGTGTTTGTGAGAGAAAGGGAGACTACACAGTTCCTGTTGGACAGACTGAGCACAGCTGTTGACAGAAGACAAGCAGTCTCAGGCAGAACACAAGCTGACACATGTATGCAAACACACACTGCAGGCTGTGCTTTGAGTTTTGAGTCCATGTTTTGCTTAATTCCATTTATTTGTGTTCATATTGACTGAAGTAAGACCTTGGCTTGTCTGCTAAAAAAGTAAAGCATGCCCTTAGTGTAGAGAAGTGCAGTGAAGTGCATGGGTCTGGTATCTGAAGTTGCAAGGATGCAGATGGACATGTGCGAGTGTGCTACTGTATGTGAGGGATTATAAATTATTGAAAGTTATTGCTACACTATCAACCTCATACAACAATTCAAATAGATTTCCCTAAAACTAAACAAAAGGCCAAAGGTATGAAACAAACACACAATTGAGAATTAAGTCAATTCTAGTAAATTAATGAATGGGGAGTGAACTGGCTCATTCACTAACTGATATCATGAATGAAAAAAACCCATCCTGACACTTGACTCACTGACACTGCACCGCTCTCTCAGGAGGATGTTGTTAAAAAACTGTGTGTGCCTCAGAACTCATGGGAGGCATGGCTGCTTTTTCAAAGTGCTATTCTTGAAAAAAGGAGGCGCAGAGCATTTTGTTGAGGCTTGCGACTTCAGATACCAGATCCAGATGCTTCCTTTGGTTTAGCTGTTGGGAAAGGGACAGGGGAGAGGGAAGGAACTGTGAAATACAGGGAGGATTGAAACATCTGCTGCAGGGTCATTGGGGGAGAGGAGAAAGGTCGAAGAAGGAAGAATAGGAATGTGGAGGAATCCTACTAAACATTTTGTGAATGAATAAGTCATTGCCGCTCCCTGCTTCATTTACTGAAACAATAAAACATCTTTTGCTTCCAAAAACTGATAGAATACTATGAAATTGCTTTTTTGAGATAATGGTGAACTTATAACCTTCCTTTTAGGATCTATGCCAACTGTTGTGGTGGCTTGAACTGGCCAAACACCTGTTTTTTTCTCCCCTTTAATGTGCCACACACCCCTTTGTTAGTCTATTGGTCACATTTGATAATCTTTGTTTGGATGTCTCATTTACTAATAAGGTATAAAACAATAAAACAATAAAACAAATCATTATTTGAATATATGACAAAGCTGAGCAGAGGTAAGGTATGAGGTAATGAAGGATGGCTGTGTAGGAGAAGAATGGAGGAGGCAATGAAAGGAGTGAAAAAGGATAGAATGAGTGGGAGTCTGCAGTTGACTGACAGAGGTTTCTCTCTTATCAGATAGAGGATTTGCGGGAGACATGCAGACCGGCCCACAGCCTATTTTTATGACCTGCAATCCTCCTATGCCTCCATCCCTCGTTCATTGACTCCATTCCTCCATCCCCCACTTTCTTGCTTCCAGGGCCTTGGGCGACGTGGGTGGGATGTAGTGATTTATACCTCTGTGCATGTGTGTGGGTCGCATGTGTGAAGTAATGACGCTGTCCCACAGGCTACATTTAGCATTCTACAAACACATTACCGAGCTATTGGAATTATCGACACAAGTCTACCAGCCAATAGCACTCAAAAGATTCCAACCAAAAAAAAAAGCACTTCCAGCAGTGGCCATTTAATTCATCTGGTTAGTTTTAGGCTATACAATTATTATCATATCATATGCACAATGCAGAAGAATGTAGCATAGATCTGATAAGGCAGTATGATTGCTCTGCATGCTCTTCTTCAACAGCTCCTGACTGTTCTTCAGTGCATCAGGTGAAGTCGTATGTTTCGTATGGAGTTCAAACTTTCCAGGAAAATGAATGACAAGCTAAAATATTTGACCAGCTTCATTAGATTGGAACTTTACCACAGAGAAAATGTGCAGATGCATTTTTTCTCTGTGGTAAAGAAAAGAAAGGCCTTGGCTTTGTGTCTTCAAAGTGACCCCTGGCATAGATGTACATGACATTTTACAACAATCAATAATTTGTAGAGACGGAGAGAGGGGGGGTTACATGTCCATAAAGTGTATTACGACTCTCTCGAAAAGGTCTCTGATGAGATCGATCAGCATGGTCTGGCTGTAAAACAGGTAATTGCCTCACTGTGATACCTTCTTGACTGTCTTCTCCATAAAACTCTCCAGTAAACACTAAAAGAGGAACAGCTATAACAAGCATCCCAACATCTGGTCCTACTAGGAGCATACAGTAGGCTTTTTATATAAACTCATGAGAGGAGGAGAAATCTGGCTCCTCT